GGACCAAGATGGAGGCAGTAATCAGGGCATCTCAACTCAGTGAAGGTGAGACTGGGAAAAAGACTTGAAAAGGGTGGAAAAGCAAGCCTTATAGGTATTTAGCGTAGCAGTAGTCCAGCAAGGGGGACAACTAGTGCAAAGGCCCTAGGAGGCAGTGTGTTTGAAGTGTTTTAAGAACAGTAAGGAGACTAGTATGCCTAGAACAGAATGAGTAAAGGGGGCAAAGTGGTAGAAGATGAGATTAAAGAGGTAATGAAGCCACTGTGGTGGCCCATATGGACTATTGGAAGCGCTTTGGCTTTTACTCCGAATGAGGCAAACACCATTTTAAGCAGAGAGGAGTGATATGACTTGATTTCTTGTTAAAAGGATTAGTCTAGTTGCTGTTACAGGAAAAGACCAGGGGTGCAAAGAAACAGGGAGATAAAGAATATAAAGTTTTCACTGAAACTTATATCTAGTATGCTTGCTTATATTTGAAAATGCATATCCAGATAACTGTAGCAAATTCAAATAATATGTCTGGTTTATAGTACTAGCATTGATATGCTTCTTAATTATTATAATTGACATAATAATAGGAGCACTAATAAAGAACAAGTCAAGGATTCCCAAAAGAATGTTGAAAAGGCAGTCAGCTTTTCCTTTGCCTAAAATCAGTCATAGCAGATTTGGGCCAAATACTAACACCAGAGTCAAACTATGCATATCCCTACTACAAAGACACAGATGAATGTGTGACAGTTTCCTGCCCCCAAGAATCTTTAAGGGTTGTAGAGGAAGATTAATATGGCCAAATAACTAGAGTGATCAGTTTACCAGAGAGGGCCAGTTTTGGAAGACAGAAAAAAACAGAAACAAAATGATGTTTGAGTTAAATCTTTAAAAGTTTCTCTCAGGCCGGGCGCAGTGGCTCAAGCCTGTAATCCCAGCCCTTTGGGAGGCCGAGGCGGGTGGATCACGAGGTCGAGAGATCGAGACCATCCTGGTCAACATGGTGAAACCCCGTCTCTACTAAAAATACAAAAAACTAGCTGGGCGTGGTGGCGCGTGCCTGTAATCCCAGCTACTCAGGAAGCTGAGGCAGGAGAATTGCCTGAACCCAGGAGGCGGAGGTTGCGGTGAGCCGAGATCGCGCCATTGCACTCCAGCCTGGGTAACAAGAGCGAAACTCCGTCTCAAAAAAAAAAAAAAAAAAAAAAGTTTCTCTCATAAATTTACCAAGCCACATATTGGGAAGGGTACCCCGAGACAGAAGGAGTAGAGTAATTTAACTAGAAAGGAAATAGTATGGTGTTTTTGAATAACTACAATGTGTGGCTGAACAATGTGGGAAATGATGAGGATAGAGAGATGGGCAGGAAACGAGGTAAGGGAGGCTTCCTTTTAAAATAATTAGACCTTGTCCTGTGTACATTTAATAGGATTTTAATCAGAACATACAGTAATACCAGATTTCTTTACTTTGGAAGGATCTTTATGGTGGTGGCTCCAGAAAGAAATTAAAGCAGAGTAACAGTGGTTAGCAATAATGAACAGCTAGTAGTTCCCAAACCTATGTATCATATGCATCTTGGGAGTTTTTAAAAACTCCCATTTTGGAATCCTGACTTAAATCTACTGAATGAGAATTTACAGATTCAGATTCCTAGTGGGGCCTAGGAATTTGAAATGTTGAATGTCCTTCATGATGCAGCTGGACAAGCATTTGGGAATACAGCATTAGGTCACTATTTCAGTATGCTAAGGAGTGGGAGGCTATTTAAGCTCAAGGGCTATTCTGCTTCTCACTATACAGTATTTCCAGTACCTAGCACACTGCATGGTACTTGATAGATGTATCCTTTCTTCCACACCTCACCCTACACATCTCTTCATCTGTATCCTTAGTAATAGCCTCTGTAATAAACTGGTAAACACTTATCCTTGAGTTCTGTCAGCTGCTCCAGCAAAGATGGGTTTGTGAGACTCCCAACTTTAAATCTGTCGGTCAGAAGTTTCTGAGGCCTAGACTTGGAACTTATGTTGGGGAGAGGGGCAGTCTTGGGGACTGAGCCCTCAATCTGACACTTTCTCCAGGTAGATAGTGTTAGAATTGAATTGAAGGACACCCAACTGGTGTCCGCTGCAGAATTGATTGCTCACTTGGTGGTGGAGAGAACCCCTCCTCCGCCCATTTGGTTACAGAAGTTATCTTGTGTATTGTTGATTGCTGTGGTGTGGGAACAGAAGGGGAAAAAACTGTTGGAGGGTTTTTTCCCAAAACAATAAAGAGATTATTTAGATGTATAAAAATAGAATCAATGCAAATTAACTGAGCATATTGTGAAATATAGAGTAGAGCTGTGTATAAGGAGTAGATCTTAATGGCAGGCTGACACAAATTGAATGTTTGCTAGAACCTTCAAAAATCTAAGCTTCCCAAGTATGTGAAAACACTCAGGTTAGTAAACATTTTTAGGCAAACAGCAAAACAATGCTCAGAGCCATTTAAGGAAAAAGAACAGTAACTGAATTCTCTTACAGAAATGTGAGATGTTGTTATACTAAGTACTGATTGTATTATACTTTTTGTTTATTTGTTTAGTGGTGTTTCAGTTCCTAAAATTCCTTCAAATGTCCTGCAAAATACCAAGAACTTGGTGAATCTTCCTTTTGTTTTCCTGTGAAAAATGATGAAATTAAAAATCTTGAGAATTAGACCTTGAGGGTTACCTTCCGGTGTTTATACCACTATCATACAAAATTTTGGAGGACAAAACCCTTCCCACTTAAAAACCAGTCAGTCCCAGAAAATCACCTCACCTGAGACTGCATCATTGTATTATGTGCATTAGCTTTAGGTATGGATCTAAATGTTTTTAATATTTTAAAAACTTCAGCCTTTCTTCATTAATTTGGCTTAATACAAGTTAGAAGAACTTTAAAAATGAGTACAAACAAGGAAGTTGCTGTGACTGCCAAACATGTTGAGCAAGTAAAATACCAAAGTGTTGAACTTAGATATTGAAAGAGTTGCTCTGTACAAATAAAGTCTACTGGGAGTATATAGGAGAGACTGAATTACCATCTTTTGATTCTCTCCCCCTAATGATTGGCATTACCAGAAGGGGATACCTTGCTTTGAAGAGCTGCTGGACAGTAGAGCAGAGAGCATCTATCACCATTGGTAGGTGCCTTTCAGTTAGGACTTTGGATTTATTTTTAATTTTAATTTTTTAAATTTTTATTTATTTTTCAAGCATCAACCTGTTTAATTGTTCATACTTTATTCTTGTATCAGTAGGTTAAGAAAGTAAACTTTTCCCAAGCACTGATTTATAGATCATGTTTGTTAAGTGGCACACAAAAGTAAGTTTAATAAACAATAACATTCAGTGATCTACTTAAATGCGATTGTAATCCTTAATTTAAGCTAAGGGCAATAATTTAATATAATAGACTAAATACACACAAAACCTGTATATCCAGAACTACAAACATGGTTTCCATAGCCACATATGGTTTAGCCACAAAGGACACATTTCCACAATGAAGAAGTACTTACAAATATGTTAATAAAACACTAACGCAAATTTTTAACCTGCCATCAGCTTTTTAAGCAGTGCCATTCCTGCTACTGAAAGCATTTATTTTTAGAAGCTTGAATCTGATCTGGGAAAACGAGTTCTCCTAAAACTTAACAGGATGTTATAAGTCTGAAAAGGTTTTAACTCAAAAAGCCTCCCAACACAGCATTATTTACGTGAAACTTAGTTGCTTAAATAAAAATAATAACTTGGTTACCTGAAGAAAATGAAAACAAATTATCTTTTAAGAGAGATAAACATTCTTACAAAAAACTGTATTTTATCTTCTTCAAAAGAAATGCAAACGAGTTCATTATCTGTATTTATTTTTTTGAGACAGAGTCATTCACGCTCTATTGCCCAGGCTGAAGTCCAGTGATGCCATCTCGGCTCGCTGCAATCTCCACCTCCTGGGTTCAAGCAGTTCTGCCTCAGCCTCCCAAGTGGCTAGGATTACAAGTGCGTGCTACCATGTCTATCTAATTTTTGAATTTTTAGTAGAGGCAGAGTTTTGCTATATTGGTCAGGCTGGTCTAGAACTCCTAGCTTCAAGTGATCCACCTGCCTCGGCCTCCCAAAGTGCTAGGATTACAGGCGTGAGCCATAGTAGCCAGCCCAGTTCATTATCTTTAATAATAATTACCTTTAATAATGTTTAATAATAAACTAGACAGTAAACTAGTTGTTGTCTAAACACTTTCAAATATATAAAGTACATGTCTGAGCTGTCAAGTCAAAAATGTTATTTAGATTTCACATACTAAACAGCTACAGTATAGCTTATAAGGGCATAAACATACCTAACACACTGCATTATTCTTTATAGATAGTCAAAAGTCAGAAGGTACTGCATGGTTTGCAAGGTACTTTGTCTTATGAGTGGTCATTAAAACTCAGTAAGTAATTCAAGTATGGTAATACAAAGGCAAGTAATTAAACGCACCAATATCACTCTAAAACTAAAGGCATAAAAATAAAGGCTGAGGCTGGGCTCAGTGGCTCAAATGCTTGTAATCCCAGCACTTTGGGAGGCTGAGGTGGGTGGATCACCTGAGATCAGGAGTTCGAGACCAGCCTGGCCAACATGGTGAAACCCCTTCTCTACTAAAAATACAAAAAATTAGCTGGGCATGGTGGTGTGTGCCCTGTAATCCCAGCTACTCAGGAGGCTGAGGCAGGAGAATTGCCTGAACCCAGGAGGCAGAGGTTGCGGTAAGCCGAGATCGCGCCATTGCATTCCAGCCTGGGTAACAAGAGCGAAACTCCGTCTCAAAAATAATAATAGTAATAATAAATAAAAATAAATAAATAAAGGCTGAAAACTTTGTGTTTCTCCATCTTTCATTTACATGGCTAGATATCAGAACCTTACTTTAGAAGTTGTTATATATGATATCCCCAGATGATAATTTTCAGAAACTATAAAAAGTGTCAAGATCCGTAGTTTGCTTCATCAAATGCTTTTCTAGCTTGTTTCAATTCTTCATTCATAGTAAGCAAGTCTTTAACCCTGGCAAACTTCCTTGGGTCCTTTCGAATCAAGAAGACGGTATCTTCAACTTGTACTCGACCTTGTCTTCCAATGAACATTGCCTTGTGAGTCATTTCAGTGATGAACTGTATGACAAGATCTTCAAGAATATCCACTGACTCAATATAAGGATTCTGGTCATCCCCAAAGGCATACATCATACATCACAATTCTTCAGAAAAAAGTCTGTTTCTTTTACCCTGTCCACCTTCTGCACCTCCTCCAATTTCTTCATTTTCTTCCTCAAAGGTAGGATCCTCTTCCTCATCTGCCATCCCACTAGCCCGCCAACCCACCAATTTTTTTTTTTTTTTGGAGATGAGGTTTCACCGTGTTGGCCAGGCTGGTCTCAAACTCCTGACCTCAAGTGATCTGCCCACCTCGGCCCCCCAAAATGCTTGGATTACCGGTGTGAGCCACTGCACACAACCAAGATTTTGGATTTATAAGCAAACTCCAAGAAAGAGCTTGGTCCTGAGTTCCTCTGAATAGCTTAGGTCAAGTCCTAAATTCTGAAGCCAACCCCTGTAATTCCCTCTTTATATCTTTGGTATGTGAACTAGGCAAATTTCAAACTTTATAATAATAGCCTAGACTTAAGAATACTTGCCTTGGTAATTAGGATGAGTTTTTGGGAGACAGCATAGCCTAATGTTCATCACATGGACACCAGACTGCTTGAATGGAATACAGGTTCTACGGTTTATTAACGGAGTAACTTTGGGTAAGCTATTTAACTAGGGTCCTTATGTTTAACATGGTGATGATAATAAAGATGAAATTATAGGTGAAACATGTTTAGAATACCACTGTATACATAGTAAGCACCATGCATAGGTATTTGGATTTAAAAATACTGGCAAAGGCCAGGTTGGGTGGCTCACACCTATAATCCTAGCACTTTGGGAGGCCAACGCAGGAGGATCGCTTTAGCCCAGAAGTTCAAGACCAGTCTAGGCAACATGGATTCCATCTCTAAAAAAATTTAACAGAATTAGAATTAGCTGGGTATAGTAGCGTGTGAGGCTACGGTAGGGAGGGTGAGGATCACTTTAGCCCATTATTTTGAGGCTGCAGTGAGCTTATGATCATGCCACTGTACTCCAGCCTGGGTGACAGCAAGACTCCCTCTAAAATAAAATCAAAATAAAACTGCAGTCAAAAATGCCAACTGAAAAATGAACATGAACATTTTTTTTTTTTTGCATTTTTCTTGGGCCTAAGTAAGAAGTGCAAGGCAGTTAAAATGATGAGATAAAGTTCTTACCTATCAGCAGATCAGAAATTAATAAGCTTAAAAAGATGCATAATATATAATATTGCAGAGTGCATGGGGGAATTGATATACACATTCATGAACTGGCAGAGACAAAAATGGGCACAGAACCTTTTGGAAAGCTAATAATTTCAGTAGCATATTTTTTTATATCATGGAATTTCACTTTAGAACGTCAGTCCTGTAGAAATACTGACACAAGTGCAAAAACAACAAAACCCTCCTTGTTCCTTTAAGGTCAGAAAGAGTTATTTCACCAAATAATAGAATTGAGGTACATTTACTTTATTAGAAATAAATCTGATAATCTGCTAACATTTTGAATAGTTAGTTTAACTTCAGTTCTTGAAGTCCCATACCTTTACAATTAGGAATGCTAACAGGCTTTTTGTGCAACATTGAAAGATGAGTTTAAATCCCTGCAATTATTTTGTGTCCTTTTTAAAAATAATTTTTACTAACCTACAAAGCACCAAATATTTTGTTCTTAATCTGAAGAATAATAGACATTCTCTATAAAACAACCATTGCTTATTCATGAACTTTGTACACAAGAAGCTTAATAAGACAGTGGCTCAAAATTATTTTTCTAAATATATTTCCTATACAAAATAATTTCAAGGTATAATTGTTATTTTTGTGTCTCATACTGTATATTAAATAATAAGCATGTAAAAACTACAGTACCACAAAGATTCAGCTATTTTGATAGTAGTATACTCCAACATTAGTTCTAGAACAGTCATTGATATTGGTGAACAAACTTTTGAATGTACTGTTAGCTAAAATAGTACTTTATGCAGTAGCAGAACTTGACTTTATCTGTACTTAAAATAGATGCAATTTATAACATTTAGAGAAATACAGTGACCTTATTTACTTGCGGAAAATGTACTTATTTCCTTTTGATCTACACGTATTTTGTTGTGCAATGTAAGCAGTAAAACAAATAGTATAGGGTTCATATCTGTGGGACCTAGACCCCCTGGTCTAACAGAAATAATTCTTGGTCAATACTGTAATTCTGTGGTATAAGACTGATAAAATTAGCCTTCTTGTGACTACTAGACAGAAAGCTGGGCAGTTCAGGTGCTGAAACTCATAAGAATTTCGGAAGCTTTAGCTTTAAGTAACCTTTAAGTTTACTTAGAAATGTTATAAGACCTCCAGTAGTCAACATATGAAGGATATTATACAAATTTCTTCATTAAATATTTATTATAGATCCACTGATTGGTTTATGTCTAGACTCACTGTGTGATAAAGGACATAATGATTTTTATCACCTTCATCTAATACAGGATTTTCAAGTCTATATTAGTTGTTTTCTTGAAGATTGGTTTTCTTCCAAAATTCATTCTCATGTTCTTATTTTCAGTCTGCACTAGATTTTAAATATACTGTCCCTTAGACGCTTTTTCTAACCTCACATTTATAATGGATTTCTCTTAGATGCTTATTGCCACTCCTTGGACAGTCACTGCTATCTTCAAAGTTCTGGATAATACATGTATTTCAGAGGGCCTGGAGACATTCCATTACTATGGTTAGCTTGATCAGATACCCTTTAAAAGCACATAGCAGCTATTATAAGCTTTTCAATTTTTAATCAAGTGTTTCATTGGGTAGTCATTTATTGGTAGTTTACATCAGTTGAGTGGTTTAGAACAAATATAGTAAGTTTTTAGTAAAATTCTGACCACCTTGGCTAGGCACAATGGCTCAAGCCTGTAATTTGAGCCCTTTGTGAGGATGAGGCAGGAGGATTGCTTGAGCCTAGGAGTTTGAGACCAGCCTATGCAACAATGAATGCCTGGACTGATTGTGGCATTTGAACTAATATTCAGGTTTAACATGAGATAACTGATTATCATTCTATTTTGGAGGCTTTATTTGAACCAGATAGAAATCTACTTCCCATAGCTATCACTGCCTCTCACCTACCACTTTAAGCGGGTAGAGGAGGAAGTGAGGGAAATAGTTTTCGTTAAGGCCAGTAGGGACCTGCTAGACACCCCTCATCCTGAGAATACTGCATGGAACTCCATTATATACTGGAGTATTATTGCCATACATTGTAATTTTTTTTTGTTTTGTTTTACTCTTCTGCTTACACAGATCAAGTCATACATTTTTAAATTCAGATTGAAAACATTTACAGAGAACAATGCAGTGAAATGAAAAATGAAATTACAGACTGCTGGCATTTGCATTTTCATGTAGCCTCGGCGACTCATTTTTTTTTTTTTACAGTATAGCATTGAGAAAATCCTAGTTCATGTAACTAGTTATGGTTCATATAGATTCATATAACTAGTTATAAGTGATAATGGTGTAATGGTGTCACCATCTATCTAACCAGATGAAGATAATAGTTTTTAATAGCTCACCTTAAATTGCAAGGTACCCAAGTTAAATTGATCTAGATGCTTGAGTTGAAATTTTTGTATCAAAGTTCAGTTACTACAATAACATGCTTACATTCCTTGTTAAAGTATAAAAGTCCTACAGGCACACAAACTTGATAAGTGCTAAAACAAGTATCACTATTGTCACAATACAACTTGTGTTATATTATAACAAGAGTTATAACAGTTCCATATGCTGAGAACTGTGTCTGTTACTTGAGATTGCTGCTCCTGTGGTTGGATCTTTCAGATTTGCAAATCATTTGAAAGGAGAGATTTTAGGTAGAGACAATTACATACTTCATTCATGGGTGGTAAGGAGGATTAAGTGAAATAATGCAGCTAAAAGTCCTTATTTAGTATACTGTTCAATGGTCACTAAATTGTAATAGTTGTTTTTAACATTTGGCCAAGCACCAATTTAACAGGATTGAGTTGAGGGGCATAGGGGATCATGTGAGTGTTTGAAGTAGAAGCAGCATTCTTTATTAAGAAGAGAAACAGTTTGAAAAAGCCAAGACTTTGGAGTGAAAAAACACCTGAGTTCAAATCCTATTTGATACGTAATGGCTACTTTTAACCTTTTGAATGCCAGTTCCCTCATTTGTAAAATAGGGACAATATTTAACCTATATACAGGTTGTCCTGAGAGAATTAGGCACCTAGTACAGAATAATGTTAGCACATGGTAGCCTTTAATAAACTGTAGGTATTCAAGAAGCTCTTAGATGTCACTAGGCAGTTAAGCAAAGGAGGACAGCTTTGCTTGGTGTGCCAATGAAAATCTTTCTTCTTGGATGAGTTCCCTGAAAATATGTCATTGTATTGACACCTTTATCTTTGCTAACCTATCCCTTTAAATCCTGGGTATTGTGTGTGCCACAGCTTTTTATTCTTCCATATTCCTGCATTTATTTGGCACCTCTTGTGCTAGTAATAGATAAGAGGCTACTAAGGGAGGAGGCAAGTACACTGGCTTGTAGTTGCTAATATCATTTCCTATAGCTTATTGTCAGTGTTGTTCATGTGGTAAGGTAAAGAGTGAGAAAGTACTGGAGTCTAAAGAAACTTTAGTAGAAATCAGTTTGTTGCTATTACTGTTCTGCCTGCTAACAACTCCTATTTTCAAGTTATTATGTACAACTTTAGGTAGTTTCTCTAGCCTTAATCATGGTTTCTCTGTGTTGAGACTACTTTTGAATGACTATGAAGTACAGTCTTAGATATGCAGGCTACTTTCAAGTTTTTGCCAAAAATAAAAGCATACTCTCCATTTACACATGCTGGGGAGAAACACCTGCTTCCAAAAGGTTTAAAGCTTGGTTTGGGACTTCTTGTGAGAGTTCCTTATGTATGCAATAATCCAAAATTTATATAGTTGTCCTTTATAAAAGTACATTCACCTAGTAGACAAAACTCAATGTAATTTAATTAAATGGCATCTTCTAATCCTTCTGTGATGAGCAGAAATGTAGTTTTATTCAAGCTAAGGCAAACTTTTTCTGTCTCATGTTTTGTTTTGTTTTATTGTTGTTGTTAAGTAGGATAAGTTCTGAACGTCGAAAAGAAAAGTCTCGAGATGCAGCCAGATCTCGGCGAAGTAAAG